CGAGGTGGTCTGCCCACAGCCCATCGCCGATGCCTGGAACCAGCCCTGCATCACCTCCTGCGGGGACTCCCGTGCCGTGGTCTACCCACCACCCGTGGTCATCACCTTCCCGGGCCCCATTCTCAGCTCCTGCCCTCAGGAGAGCATTGTGGGCAGCTCGTCCCCAGTGGGGCTGAGCCGCCCCAGGGGCCTGCAGGGCTCTCTTATCTATGGGGGCTCCTTCTCCTCCTCCTCCTCCTCTTCCAGCCAGCTCTGGAGCCAGCGCTATGGGGGCTGTGGGCCATGCTAAGCATGGCAGAAGGTGTGAACAACAGAAGAAACAGCGAGGGAACTGATGGCAAGACCTCGATGTGCAACTGAGATCTGAAGCTCTCCAAAACCCCGGGCACCCACAACTCCCAGCTAATCCACTGGGACTTGGGTCTGAGAAACTGGAAACATTCCTTCAAGTGTTTTGGTTCGCGATTAATGTAAATGCCATTTCTTGTTCCTAATAAAAACCATGCTGCATCCTAATATTAGCATTCTCTTTTTGGTTTATTCCAACTTTTCCTCACATCCTTCTTGCACTTCAATAGCAGACTGCATTAAGATGGCATCCTGTGCCTGATGAGGCTGTTAGGGTTGTGCTCTGCTTGTACCAGAGAAAAGAGTCTGTTGTTACACAGTCATATCATCAGAATTATACAAGCAGCTCTTGCATTTAAGGAAGATTTTTAAAAAAATCAAAGCCTCCAAGAAAGGAACTGCTGGAAACTGGAGAATCTCTCTGCTCTCAAGTAAGCTGGGGATAGTTTGATGTCAGCTCAGAAAAAAACACCATGCGCACCCCCCAAAAAAAAGGCACTTCTGTCTTGACAGCAATGCTATCTTAGGAGGTCCCAGATATGCATCAATAATTCTGATCTGGAGATGGCACTACTTTTTTCAAGACAAGTTGAGGGTATGCCAACACTTCAGCTCAGAGCCGTGAATTCTCCTCATCTAGACGTGTCTGAGATAGCGCTGATGTACTTGGCTTGAGTCATGCTCTCAGCTACGCCACAAGAGCGCAGTGCTGAGTCTTGCGTTGTCCCTGTGAATATTTATTTTATGGTTCCAGCTAGGTTTTGTGGCCGTTCCAGCAACAGAGCTTAATGTGTCCACATCAACAACAGTCATGCCTTTTGGCTTGAAGTATAGACATACCAAGGCAGAAATATTATTTCTTAAGAACTTAGAAATACTATTCCTCAAACAGAAAATACTGCTCAACCCCACCTTGTTGGCAGTTACTCCTTTTTAATTGCATTCTCCTTCTCTCAGATGGCTCATCCACTCGTGTGCTGTTACTTGACTCCTCCTAGGGTGTAGTAGACATGCCAGTACAACCTGGGTGTGCTGTGTTACCAGATGAGACGAATTTCACCCACACTGTGTGAGATGCGCTCTTGACTCCAAACCCATCCACCGTGGGCTTGGAAAAATTGCATGGAAATACCTGGACATCCTGAGCAGACTTTGGATTTCAATTACAAACTGAACCAAAGGATGTCCCTTTGCTATTCTTGATTGCGATGGTCATCCGAGTCAGCCAGGAAGAGTTTTTAGTCACACTTGCAAAGAAATAATCCAAAATCAATTCATGGAAGTTTTTGCAGATACATTTGAGAGTCTTTTTTTACGGTGTTACAATAAAATTAGGTGCTTGATATAGATAAAAATATTTTATGCTCATTTAGTAAATGGCTTTTTGTGATTGTTTTCATACCATGGAAATATATGTGCCACAGCAGTACTCTGATTTGTCATACAAGGAATCTGTGAAAAGATAGTCCATATGTCATACTAACTTTGCTTTTCATAGAGCTATTTGTCTCTAAATATTTTATTATACCATATTTGCATTGGCAAAAACGGCTGTGAATGGTTTAAGTCGGTGAAGCACATGAAACTTCCATTACAGGGAAAAAAACCCATTAAGATGGCATCCAGATTGCACTTTGTAGATCCATAAAATTACAACAGCAAAGCATGTGGCTGTAACCCTGAACATCTTGAGTTGAAAGAAGCAATTTGGGGTGTCAGCAGTATTGATACTAGTATGTGGCCTCCTTTGCCCTTTCAGGAGGGCAGGATGGTTAGAAGAGGGATGCATCTCCAAGATCTCTGTGATTCATCTGTAGGTATATGTCTGTCATCACTGCCATCACTTACTTCCAGACAAAGTGAAACCAGGTGTGGTTTGGCTTGGTTCTTCTCTTTGTTTCTATTCCTGTTCCTTGCTTAAGTGAATTGTCTACAATAAACTATCAGTAACTTAAAGGGTGTCTCCGCAGGCATTGATAGGAAACAACACTGAGGGAAATCCCAAGGTGGCCCTGGAAAGAGGCTTCCTCAACCGTCTTGCATGTGTCACCTGTACAGCATTACACTGCAGTATTGGTCACAGTTACCGAATGCTGGTGGACAAACTGGAATAAAATTAACATTTTGGAACAGAAATCTCAAGGTTGCTCAAAACCAGGTTTTCCATCTTAAATTCCTTAGAAGGGGATGGATTTTACAGTGGAAGAGCTCATCTTCTTGAGGTTAAAAAGGTGTTGGTAAATAATGTGAACTTGGATACACAAAATGGATGGGCTCTATTGAAAATGGCTTTGTCAGTAAATAACTGAAGAACTGCAGACAGGGTACTGGATCTGAGGAAGAAATCTGCTGAAATAAGCAGCCAATCTTTTGCATCAGCTGAAACTGCACTTTAAGGTTCCAGCCCAAGGTTTTCCTAGGATGATGCATGACTGCACTCCCTGACCTGTTTCATCCCAAACTGTGAATCGTTCACCACTCAGGAGCCCTGAGGTCTTCAGCAATGACCTCATGGACCCCCTGACAACGAAAGTTGGACATGAATTTCTTGCTGTCTGAGGCTCCTGTCCCCCATGCCAGGGCTGGTTAACAGCAGCCATCTGCTTATGGGTCACTCCACCTGTACTTTTGAAGCTTGAAGAGGCACATGTGCTTTGTGTGTATTTCTTGGCCGGAAGGATGGGAATAAATGCTTCCCATTTCCAAACCTATAACTCAGTAGGAAGGTGTCTATGGAGTCTAATGTGCCTCACATCAGAGTCATAGGAATTAATGTGTGTGGGTATGATGGGACAAATTGCACAATGCCCCCTTAGTGGACCATGACTTGGAAAAGTGGGGTAGTATCTCAAGGTATGTCAGCATGTTGTGTTTATGGATAAACGCCTGAGCAATCTGAGCAATGAGACAATCAAAGAAATTGGAAAAAGCAATAACAGGAAAAAAAATTACTCTGCTAGAGTAATCAAGACAAGAATGCAATAGTAATCACCTTTGCTGAGCAAAATAATTGCATTATCTGGGGCAGCTACAGGTGGAGTTAATTTTTGTTTGATAATGCATTAGGACATCACACATGAGTGTTTCATATCCTCCTGATTGCCTAAGAAAAGGTATAAAAGCACTACAGTTCTGGGCTGCTCTAACCATTTCTTCTGACTTGCTGCTTGCTGTGAAGGGGTAAGTCTGATGCTGTTAATGTGCTGCTGTAACTGCAGGATTTTAGCTGAAACAAAACTGTGTTTCTTAGAAATGAGGGAGATGTTTGAAGATGTCTTTCAGAAAGAGCTGTTTCCTATGTATTGTGTGGCATGCTGTAAAAAGGCAGGAAAAGATTTTTTTTTTGCAGTAGCTGAAAGTTTGGAATATGCAGACTTGATTGTAGCGAGATTTAGTGAATTCCTATTTCCTCCATCCTGCTTTTATGAACCTGCATTACTCTGTGAGATTTAGTGAATTCCTATTTCCTCCAGCCTGACCATCCTGCTTTTATGAACCTGCATTACTCTGTTCACATTGACTTGTAATGGCGGCTATCAAGAAAAGCTAACTCTGAATCTCAGATTGAACCAGGAAGCCACCATTAAAAATAATGTTTTGTCCTGTTCTTTGCAATTGTTTCTGAATTAATTTGAAGCCTGTCATGCATTGCATTATGTACTTGTTATGGTGATGGCTTCATATTCCTTTTGTTAGTCCCAGTCTTTCATTTTATGGGTCTTAGTAAGGCAGGACAGAGATCAAGAGAAGCTGCAAATCAATTTAATGAGTGATTATTGTGATTAAAGAAAAGGACTCCACAAAATTACACACAGTTCCTAGTTCTACCAGTTACCTTGGTCATCTTTAGCAGGTCAGCTGGGACCAGGTGAGAGTTGTAGTTATATTGGAAACCTCACTGATCCTGCATTCCCACCCAAATATGGGATGCTCTGCCAAGCACACTCTCTTTACAAGCACTTCAGGGGTGTGTCTGCTGCTTGTTTTATCTTTGCATGGAACACGAAGGGGAGCCCTGGTGCCAGCTGTAGCCTCTGAAAGACTGAGGAGCAACACTGCTATTAACAACCAGGCTTGCTGAAATTTTAACTCTGTCTCTCCTGTAGCCTCACCAAATGGCCCTGGGCAATGCATTCACTTCTCAGCCTCAGTTACCTCTTCCTTAAAGCTGGAATAACAATGGCTTGCCTCATACAGCTGTAATGATTACAGGTGGTGCAGAACCAGCACAGCATGTTGCTATGTAAGGGCCAGCCAGTGTTTCTGTTCTTTTCTGCAGTTATTTGTAAAAGAAGCAACCAAGTGTTGCAGCAGAGTCAGATTTGAAAAGGAATGGTGGAAAGAGAAATGGTAAAGATCGAGGGATAGCTTGAGTTCAAATACATAATTTCTTTGATTGTTAATGGTGTTTTTATGTATCAAGTTGGCTCCGTAATTAGGAGCCAAAAGAAATGGAGACTGTTCTGAGGGATAGGAGGAGGACATAAGATGAGGAAAAGGGACATGAGAAGATGAGAAAAGGGATATGGTTGTAGAGACAAAACTCTTATTCTTTCTCTTTCAAGCACAATCTCCATTGTATTGGCGTCTGAGCTTTCAGCCTTGTGTTGCCCTGGTGTTGTGTGCTTCAGACTCATCTCCATTCCCAGAAGATGTCGTCCTACAGACAGATGGTCAGCTCCCGCTGCCTTGCACCCTGTGAAGTGACCTGCCCGCAGCCAATTGCCAATGCCTGGAGCCAGCCCTGTGTTACATCCTGTGGTGATTCGAGAGCTGTGATCTACCCACCACCTGTGGTCATGACCTTCCCAGGACCCATTCTCAGCTCCTGCCCTCAGGAGAGTGTGGTGGGCAGCTCAGCACCATCCAGCCTCGGAAGCTTGTTTGGATCCATAGGTGCTTCCTATGGTTCTAGGAGCTTGTACAATTATGGGAGGTCATATTCTTCCTATGGATCCAGTGGTTTTGGCAGCTGCAGACCATGCTAAATGTGCCATGAATAAGGAGCAATCACCCAACACGGAGCAAGATGTGCCTCCACAAACTCTGTTAACAGCATTGCTTTCCTGCAGTGTGAACTGTGCATCTCTGAAAAATCACACTTCAATGTAATTCTCAAGCTAATCATCTAATTTAATTTTCTGCGTATTCTTTCCAGTGGCTCCTGATAATAATGGCCTCAAATTAGTTACATCAATGATCTTTGGCTGGTTGAAAGTGGGATGAGATTGTGTAAGTCTTCCTACGAAGAAGAAAGAATAATGTATGTGGAATGCATAGCCCTGGAGCATTCTTTGCTTGTAGCCTTTAATGAGACCCTGGCTACATCTTCCCTGTATTTTTCATTTTCAGTAATATCTTTTTCTTCTTACTTTCTCATTAAATTACTGTGCATCAATATTCTAAGCTTGCTTGTCATTTTTTTGTCCGACACTTTTTTGTTTATATACCATCCTGGGTTGGCATCAGCCACTGTAAGGCAACATGACAGTGTTTGCTTTCTTTCAACACCTGAAGTTGGAAGATGACCAGGCCCTTTAAGCAGGAGCAAGGATAATCACTGCCTTCTGCACAAAGTAATTTCATTCTGGATAAACATGTTTTGTAACCCTTACAACTAAGTTTGAAATTTCCTCCAGGACAGGCGTGGATACAGTGTGTATTTGCTACGTGCCAGCAAAGAAAGTTAAACACAGGAGTAACGTTGAAGATCTTGCCTGAGGCTCTGATCTAATTACATCCCTGTACATTGGTTTCATGATATTTTTCATTGTTTAAAAACAACATGTAATGATCTGTGAGTAGAACTTTCCTTTGAATAGCTGAAAGGAATTTTTAACTGAATGGTGAATCTTTGCTGAAGTTCTTGGAACTTTCCCATTAATACCTCTAAATTCTTGACACACCCAGTTAAAATTAATAAAAGGAAAATTATCAAGTCAAATAATATTTTCCATCTGAGGAACTTTACACCTAAATTTCAGGCTACTCACAGATGAGTGGTGGACACTGGGCATGTTCTCTTCTCTCAACAGCAGCATGGTTCCAGGCTGCTCAGTGTGTTCTGTAGAGCTATTTTTTCTAGTGATGCAGTTTCCATATGGTTAGTACTAGCTTTTAAGGGGTGTTCACCCCATATTATGCTGGCAATGCCAACCAGGACTCTGATGGACCAGACATCAGACCCTATTCAGCACTTTTGCTCTTCCCTGTATGAAGCTGCAGTTCCCAGGAATACCAGCAATGCACTGACAAACTTCACAACACTTGAGCAGGCTAATTCCAGGCAAACCCCAGCCTTGTGCTGTAGGAATTTGTTTGGACAGGATCAAGTATGTGGTAATAAGTTCAAAGGGTTTGGAGGTGTGACTTCTCTTGTAAAACTAGCTGAAATGAGATGAGGCTGCAATAAGGTAGCCAGGCAACACCTCTTTCTTGTTAGGATGAGTCTGAGGGCTTTGTCTTGTTTTCATGCTTCCTCTGCCTCCAATGCACTGCATGATTATTCCTGGAGTCACTGGGATGCTGTCAAAAAAACTCAGTACTTGTTTGAGTAGGTATGTGGAGCACTAAAGCAACCAGATCAGGTGTTTTCAAAAACACCATATCACTGTGGTGTTCATCACTAAGTAAGTCCTTTTCTCAAGATTTTGGTTTTAATCTCACACAGAGCAGCAGAATTACATTGATTCTCTTCTCAGGTCATCTCGCTCAACCTCTCTGCACTGGGCTTGCACTTGGGTTTCTCCTGCTGGGGTGGAAGGATGCAGGCAGATGTCCTTCAGCATGGATGTTGTCAGTGCACCTGGATGAAGCCACTCTGCCAACGTACTTGTCATACTACAGAAAAGGCACATGTGGGAGCCAGAAGTCAAAGCCTGGACAATTAATAGATCACCGTATCAATGCATTAATTGATCAGTGGACTCTACTGACTTTGAATGATCCCTGAAGATATAGCACTCCACAATGCCATTATCTGGTGAAGTGACCCCAGAAACTGTCCCCTGGAGAGCAGGAACTGTGAAATTTGCATTGCTGATTTTCATCTGCCAGCCTGAGTTTGCGTGTTATGACCGTAGACCAGAGCAGACACCAAAGGACAGTTCCTTAACTGCCTTCCATTGTTCTGTACTGCTCCTGACCATCCGCAGTCTTCCACCTCCCAAATGCACAGCAGGATGAACTTGGATTACATCTTCATGCAAGTGTAATCACAGATGAACACAGTAGAAGATAAGAGAACTAATTTCACTGACAGACGGACCTATCTCAGGTCACACCACATGCAGATTCGAGGCGGGAGGAACATCAGCTGCTGTTTATCAGGATAATCTGGAAGCAGTTCCGAGATCTCGATGGTTTGCTGGCCACTGCAACATGGGGACCGCATTTGACTGCGAGATCTCCCACTGTTCTTGGTCAGCCGTGGGAAGTCCAGGCTGTGGACAGTTAGCACCACCAACTCAGACTCCTGTTCCTCCTGTTAGTGAAACAAATCCTTGCCAAGAACAGGAAGCAAGAACAAATGAAATCACACTGCCTCATCTTGAACTACAGAGGTCACTGCGCTCTCCTCTTGTCTAGACGTTCTCGGTGCATGTGTTTAAATCCTAGTACCGGGTAATGCTATTGGTAAATGAGATGCAATCCGAAGTTGATTCATAAAGATGTTGTAAACACAGCCCGAAGTGTCTGTCCTCCCCACGCACTCAATTACAGCTCAAGACAGACACCTGTGGGAGTTAAGCTTTTCATGTTTGATTTGAATAGGTGGATTCACTAAATATTTAGTCACTACTAGAGCCTAATGGTTTTTTATGTGGTTCAGACTCACACCACTGGTAAATAACCTGCAGGCACAATGGCTCAACATAACAAAACCAGAAACATGCCCTGTGGAATGCCAGCTTCCTTCCAGGATTGGATTCTGGAGGAATTAGCAAAGTGACTGCTTTCAGTCTATCTTTTATCAGTCAATTGGAGGATCTGAACGTGAATGTTTCAACTAAAATACTCTATCAGAGAAACCTGAAGAAAGGAATCTTTTTTTTTTAGCTCATTCTCCCCTTTTACTGAGAAAACAAATTATAACAGTGAAAAGCAAACCCGAAGCTAAGCAGTGGAATAGAAAACTGGAAACAGAAATGGTATGTCTATTGTTAGACGGGGATATTGGAGAGAGGAATTCAATTCTGGGTTTTGCCAAGCGATTCCTTTGTCACCTGGGGAAAATACTTATGTTTTTATCAGTATAGCAAACACGGCCCTAAATCTCTGTTTAAAAGATGCCTATCTGCAAAAAAGGGAAAAGAGCAATGATGCTCGTGTTTTGTTTGTCTTGTCTATTTACTCTGAAAGCACCTGAGGACAAGGATTGTCTTTACTCTTTGTTTGCACAGCACTGAACACACCTTATTTGCAGCTCCATTGCAATTTGAATTGCCTGTATTACCAGAAGCTTAGAAGCCCTGAGTCTCTGCTGCTTCTGATACTTACAGTACTACAGTTATTTCTTAGAGGAAACAGGGATTATCCCGCTTTCTTACTGGGGTGGAAAGGCTAATGACTGCGAGGAGGAATAAGAGCAATGCTTTAGATGCTTGGGATGTCTGGAGCTTAAGTATTGCTGAGTAATGTCAAAGCTGTAGATTGTATCTGTGAATTTATAGGTGCAAATTTACATTTGGAAAGTACTCTGCTGGGCACCACCTTAATGGTATTTTCGGTCATGCTGGGCTCAGCGTGGAAACCCGCAATTCTCTGTTTGGTTGGTCATGGAAAGACCCCACTGCAATCCTGTTTAAACAACAGGAGTTAAGATATTATGTTATTTTCATATCTTCAAATAATGGAAAACTGCTACTCCGGTGTCATTACAGAAACTTTTGAGACACCATGTAAATTCACTCGGTGCTAAAATGTTCTGCAGTGCTACTGTTTAGTTAGCAGCTTGGTGCTGCCCATGGGAAGATATCACCCCGGACAGGCTGTGGATGAAGGGAGGAAGGGAAACCAGAAGGCTGCTATGTGATGCAACAAGATTTTAATGAGCAAGAAATGCCTATGTTTGCAAAGCGAGATATCACAGAACATGAAAAAACTGTTTCCAGAATATTTCAGAGAATGTTCAACAAATGTCCTGCTCAGACATATTGCTGTCCTCAGCTGGCTTTTTTCTGCCTGTTGTACAACTCCTGATGAAGATATTTGTTGTTATGAGTGATGTCCGTATGGAATGCTCCACCATGGTTAAAAAAAGTGGAAAAGCTGGAAGAGGCAGCAACAGCAAACTAGACACTGAAGGGTCAAAAAAGGTAGAAGAAAGATCAGAAATGCTAAGTGGCAGTAGCTCCATCGCTGGGCTGCAGGAACGCTGAACCCCCATCCTCATTGCTCTGCGTTTGGGCTTTCATGTGTTGCTCTTCTGAGACCTCTCTGCTGCCTTTAGCATGGCCCACAGCTGCCGCGGAGGAGCCGGCTGTACCGACGGGAGGAGTACGGGCTGTAGTACCCACTGCCGAGTGTAGAGATGGCTGAACTCCCATATCCATACTGGGCCCCATATCCCAGAGAGCCCCCATAACCGTAGAGGCTCCCAGCACCGTAGAGGCCCCCCAGCCCCAGGTTGCCCCCAAAGGCGGGTGCTCCGGAGGAGCCCACCACGGCTTGCTGAGGGAAGGAGCTGAGGATGGGGCCGGGGAAGGTAACCACCACGGGAGGTGGCTGGATCACGGCCGTGGAGTCAGGGCACTGCCGGACACATGGCTCATTACAGCTGTTAGCGATGGGCTGGGGGACGGCGATGTTGCCGGTGGTGGGGCACAGGTCATAGCAAGACATTTCTTTGCAGGGATGAAGGTGATCCTGAAATAGAGAGCACAGAGCCGCGTAAAAATAAAGCACAAGGTCTCCTGGAACAACAGGTCAAGGTTTGGTGCTGGGTTGTTGGGGAACAGGTGAAATGATCACCAGGTGCATAAGCAAAATCGATGATGCTGTTCACAAACTTTTCTGTCAATCAGCATTGCTTTGATCTTCTCCAGCCAGTAATCCCTGCGCTTGTAACATCTGTCAACCCTTCTGGAATTGCTACTGCTTTTTTTTTTTTTCTTTTTTTTTTGAATTTGTGTTTGTTCCCAGAGGAACAGTGTTGGCAGCACATTTTTTATCCAAACACCAGCACTCCTCCATGGCGAACATGAGTTGAAAGCCAGGAGCTGCAGGAGCTACACCAGGGCTGAACTCCTCGTTACACCGAATGGGACAGAAGCAGGTTTTGTCTTGGGAGAGATGGGATGGAGTTGAGAACTCAGCACTGCTTTAACCACACATTTCCTCCTCTTTTCCTGGTCCCTGTTTCTTTTCAAGCTCTCTGGGGTAGGATACTTTCAGTTGTTCTCTTTTAGTTCTATGTTCTCTTAATCTCTGTAATCCTTCTGGTAAAACCCACAAAGCATTTGAGCCTGAGGAAAGATTCATCTACTTGATGTAACAAGTAAATATTTCCTATAAAATGTTTCTATCCAAATATTTCTTGGCATAGTGGTGTAATTTCATGTAGAGCCTGGAGCAGGTTGGTACAATGTAAGGAGCTGATTTCCTTCATCAGATAAAAGTAGTTTGCAAAGTACCATTTCAGTCACAAAAGCTTGTGGTTTAGCAGTTTTTCCAGTAAAAAAAAAAAAAGAGGAAATATTATTTTGTGCATAAAGTAGCCCTGAAATGCAGAGAATCAAATCATTGAGCTCAGTGTATCTGAAGGGCTAATCGTATTTGGATTTACAAACGGACATATGACAAACACACTGGATCAGACCATTGGTCTACTTCCCTTATTATTGTCTCTGATGAAAATAACTAGGGTTTAAAATAAGCAGGATTTAGTTTTTACCTATCCATAAAAACTAAATACAAGCTAGGATTACTCTGCAATAAAATTCCCGTATAGATAAAGCACTTTCTTCAGCTGGATCGTTAAACGGCTTAGGACATGGCCGTGTCTCTCTGACTGTCATTAACTGAAATGGTACAGGAGAATTCTGCATTTTAAAGCTTATGCCATCCTACATTTTCAATCTGCCAACAGGACAAGAATGCCCAAAAATGAATTGCAGTCAAATAAATGCTTCAAACCCTCGTCTGGACTCCTAAAGCCTGCCAGTAACACAATTTACCAACATACTAAAAAAAAAAATAAAAAAAAAAATGGAGAGAGAGAACCAAAAAAATAGTCCTAAAAACTCTAATGTAATAGTAGCAAACAGTATTTTATGCTCCAGTGCAAAGACATTCTGGCGTTTAGAAATGAAAGGGCATCGGACTTACCTGATGTAGAGAAGAGAAGGCTGGAAAGGGAGATGGAATAAGTCTGCGCACCTTCCCCTTTTATACAGTGCTGCAGATTGCCTGGGGGGGTCTGAGGCACCCTGTACACATGAAGTCATAATCACTATTCAACCCAAATTCGAAGCACATATAACTTCTTGAAGTGATGAAACTGTTTTCGCTTGCTGTTTGCAAAATCACCCTAAATCTCTGAATAGCATGATATGCACATTCCAGCTCCACGGTTCTCTTTCATCTTGAAGCCTAATTGACCAGCTTCATTGCTGGTATCATTCCACCCTGCTCGCTGGCATTGCAAAAAAACTGGTCCTATTTATTTAGCACTTCCTTCATTAACTTCCCGTAATGATTTTAATCAGAGCTATAACCTGCTGTCGCATACATGTTTGTGTTTAAGTGCTTTAGATCTGGGCTGTAATCTCATTTACTCACAGGTTTTGCAACGAAATGTTCAGTGAGGTGGAAGACACTTTCTGATCTTTTTCCCACCCACAGCCACAAAATATGAGAGAGGTCCTGTGCCTATTGTACTTATTCATGGACATTGTCTAATGGTCCTTGACTTAGAAATTCTGAATTTTCCTTGCTGCTTGGCAAGGGCAGCAGAAAACACAGTATTTTATACCTGAAACCACCTTTAAACCAAAGGCTAAAGTTTTCTCTGAAGGGTATCACTACTTTTTTCCTTATTTTTGACCTGAAATCTGCAAAGGCACACAGATTATCTCGCAAGTTCAGCAATGTAGAACAGCTGCAAATGCAAAAAGATTAATAGTTACGACCTACTCTGTATTGACTTTGCACAGCTCCAAAGGAGGACGTCACACAGGACAGTGGAGAACCAGGTACAAATTTCTCAGTTTCTGTATGAAATTATGTGTTTCTGTCTACCACTGTATTCATTCAGTCTGTATCTTCTCTTTCTTTTTGTTCATATGATGTAGTGTGGTTTGCCCTTACATCTACTCCTTCACCTTACAAAGGAATTGAATGAAAGTTTCACTGGAGGATGTCACAGAAACAATTTTCAAGCATCTTCATCCCAAATTACTGTGTAAGTGGCAGGAAAAGCAATGGAATTATCCCAGGAATAGTTATTGCAACAATGAATTTTTTTTTTTCTTCGCTCTTTGCTGACAAGCAGGACATCACTTGCAGAGTGCATGTTGTTGCAGAGCCCAATTTTGACTGCCAAGATTTCAAGTGACTTGTCATTTGAAATTACTCAAGCTTCCCCAATACTTAGTGGGGAGGGACAAGAATTTCTGCAAGACAATTCATCCCATCTCAGATGCTGACCTTACCAGAATTGGTATCATCCTCAAAACATAACAATTTCGATTTTATTGACAATGGAGGCAAAACAAGCCCAACTGAAACAGCCAACTTTTAAACAGGGAAGGTATGATGAGATGTGTCCCACCCATATTCCCATATTCTGAAATTCTATGTAATAAATAGTGCCCAGCCCAGCCTCAGAAATCCCCATTTGCCTATGGATCACTTGTTTGTCAAATAACAAACACTGCAACATTTCTACCAGAAGTTATACTTAATTATGATGTTCTTTCTTCCAGACTTTGAGATGGCCCTAGGGGATCACAAGAGCGGTAATACCCACAAAGGTTGTTCAAATATTTTTTGTGTGTGTTTTTAAGCACTTCCCAAACCCTCTTTAAGTAGCTTACGCCTGAAGTGGTGCGTCATTGTTGTAACACAATTGTGTGGTCAGATTCAAGCAGCCCAACATTTTGAAATAAATTTATTAAATTGTACTGGTCAAGAGTGCTCTTCCTGTTCCCTTTACCAGCTCGTGACCTCTAACCTTAGAATTTGAGTTGATTGTCTTTTTTAATTTAGGTTTTCATTTATTCGTTTAAGTTGTGTATAAGCTTCTTCACCGCTGATGATGTATTAATTCACATCCCCTTCAACACCTGTAGCACAAAGATCTGCAACATCTGCCTCTGTCCTCATGTTTTGAAAGCTTTTCCTAGGACTTTTCAAGTCTAACTATGAGCAGTCTACCTTTCCTCTGAGTTTTAAACATGTTTAGCTTCCTAAAAATGTATATATTTAATAAATTGCCTATAATCTGGCTAAGAAACTGTTCACCTTTGTTATGACCAATGAATTAACCTCTAAAATGTGAAGAAATCATAAAATTGGGCAGTCTGGGAGACAAGGCATGGATCTGGATGATTTTAAAAAGCAGTTTGCAACGTATCTGCTGATTTTTCCCCTTAATTCCAACTTCACATAAGGGTTAGATGATTTTGATTTTGCTGATTTCACAAGAAAGACAGCATGTTTTATATCAATTATGCTTTATCTAGCATGGGTAAGGAAGGATGGAAAGAAAACTTGCATATGAAAGCAGATGGCAATTATGATTAACATTTGAGCCACCGTCATTATGTCAACCAATAAAAGAAGAGGTAAATAAATGAAGCCAGCATAATCCCTCCTGGCATTCTAGTGTATTTAATGGAACGTTACCAGGAATGAGTCTTGCCAATTAAGTGTTAAGATGAAAGAAATGTTTGCTTTGTAATTTGCATTTCATGCAACATAAGAATTTGAATCAACTAATAAACATAAATATTGAGCAAAACTCTTTCATCATTTTGAGGTGAACCATGTGTGATAAATGTGGGCTGGTGCTAATGGGAGTCTCAGGTTCATCAGGCAGTTTGAGGAAATGTGTGAAAAGTCCCTCCTGAAAACTGCCTTCTATTTACTTGTCTTGCTTTCTTCTCCCCAGAGCCAGCTATTTTCTAGACATCAAGCTGTTCTTTTTCTGTAAATTTGAATTACTCCTCTTTTGTCATTTATGAGGACGCAATGTTATATGTTTAAAGGCTAAGCTTGGTGTTTTCCGCAATGGATTGTATAGGAGCTGTCAGCTCTCCACTAGTTGGAATCTCAGGGTTAAAATCTGCCAAAGAGATGTCAAAACCCCAGGCTGTTGTCCTACAAACTGCTCTGTACTCCTGCACCACAAAGGCCTCGGCCGCAGCGATGTGTAGCAGAGGGTATATCCTCTTCATAATTAATTACTTGGTCTTCCAGTCACTGTTTCAAATTAGTTTCTATGGAAGAAAGCCAAGGGGGTGTAAGCAAAGCTTCCTTACTCACAGCAAAAAAAGCCTCCAGGGTGGTAGGAATCAGCTGAGCCTTTGGAAGGTTCATTCAGTACCGCATACCATCAGATTTTTATGCTGAACTTCAGATGATGTGGAACTGACTTTTATCAGAGACAAGGTATAGGATAAGAGCAACCGTTCGTCTGAGGAATCACGTGACCTCCTATATTCCTATGTTTCCACTAAGCAATGATTAACCATCACTTAAAAATTATTTTTCTTACCGGGCTTATACAAATTTGAGGAATTGCATCCACAGAAGCAAGTAGATCTTGTTGAGATAGCTACAATTAGGTGGGATGGATCTGGAACTAAATTAGTGTTACAGATCATAGAATCATAGAACGG